ATTAAATTACTGAGCAAGTTACCTCGCAAACAAGGCTAGGTTGCAGGTTAATAATAATCGCACATGTAACCATCTCATAGATGCATCTTATGTTGTACACATGACAGGTGAATGAGCTCATATTCATCTTTGATATTTCCAGCATTCATGGGATTCAATCCCAATTTTATAAGTTGGTCAATTAATTAATGAGAACAAACAATATAAGAGCATTCGTAAAGAACTTTCTAGTTCTTTAATATTTACCGATGTGAATTCTCTATTATTTTTGCACATCATACTTAAATTGATATGGCTAAACCAATTATGCCAACTGAATAAATTATCAATATTGATAAACTTTAGGTTTACATCATGACATGTGCAATTATCAATAAATTCCAAATTTATTATGGTATGAGTTTTTATATCAATAAACATCCACTTTAGTATGGTATTCTTTTATTTGTATAGTACAAACTGGATAATAAAGTTGGTAGCTTTTCACATACATATTATCCCGCTACAAGTTGTAGTAATAGAAGATATTAAATTTTTCCTTTATTCATAGTCTCAATATAATTAACAGCTTTCGCGTATACTTTGGAAACTGAATAAATTTCTTTGAGACTTACTACAACACAATACCTTATTGGTAATCAATTATGTTTCTCCAAAATAGTATAATTGGCTCTTGCAGCGTTCTCAATTAATTTTGTAGTACCACATATTCATCAATATCCATATGGTGAATATATCTTTTAAAGAGAAAGTTATACCATTATAGTTATGGTCAAAATTATATGCACGATATGTTTCTTGCATTAATGTTATTCTTTAATAATCATATTACCAAAATATTTTGGTGTGCAATAGGTACGTGACCAATGACCATTCATGTCATAATAATGATATTATTTTCTTATATCATCTCAAACCTCATTCTAGAGGTGAGTGTGGTATATTCACTACCACTAGCACGTTCATATTCTTCCAAAAATGAATATGTATTCATAAATCAGATGTTGTCACATTCACATCATGAATGGACCATAATCATCTATATGTGCTTTATAAAATCTCATGTCAAATCGATGGCAAATATTACTTTCACAGAGTGAAGGATTATTTTGAGAATCCTTTTTATTCTCATTACCACAATGATGACGATTATATTTCGTCTATTGCCACGTCCACATCCATTGATACCTTCACAGTAATAATTTTTTCTTCTTTCAAACTTATCACATATTGCTATCACATTCTCTTAAGGGAATGAGAATGAAGCAAATTCAATGGGATGAGTTTTCACTTCTTGTGTTCACGATCATACATGATTTTGATCATGGCAAGACATAGAAATTTTACCACTTCGAGTGGTTATAATTTCTTACTAACTCCATTAGAGTTATAATCAAATTTTATTTTCTTTGCTTGTATTTAAAATCAAATTATAGAATAAAAGAGAAAAATACGGTAATATACATACCTTAAACCTAGAATTTAATCATGAAGGAAGTTCATAGAACAATTGATAATCGTTATGCTCAATCCCAAAACTTCTACTCAATTGGTTAGAGTCTCGTGCCGATAACGTGTTACGAACAATAAAAGAAGAAGAAGAGTATTACATAGAAAAGCAGAGAAGGAGAATTCTTATTGATTTTGGGATGAATTATAATGGAATAGAACCCTCTATTTATAGGGAGAGAATGACTTAGCCACCAAGTAATAAATCCTAGAATCTCTCTAAATATAGACATTCACCATAAATAAAATTCTATTTATATATCATTATAATGTTTATTATGTAAGAGTGAATCAGTATATCTAATATTATTAGTGGACTTCATGTTTATTTTCTTCATTCGTCGATCTTGTGTCTTATATTATTTTCTGAATAACCTAATTTAATTTAAAATCCAACAAAAATCAGGTGTATTTCAATTTAAAAGAGTATAACGATGAAGCCAAAATAGGGATGTACATAGGTCGGGTTGGTTCAAATTTTACGATTATCAAACCAAATCAATTGTGTCGGGTTATTAAATCTAAAGACCAAACCAAACCACTAAAACTCGGGTTTTTTCAATCTTGATTTTTCTCGGGTTTTCTCGAATTTTCGGGTTATCCGGGGTTTTGGGATTTTTTCCGGTAAAATCTTCGTAGAACAAAACATATAACTTGTGCTCAAAATATTTTTTTAATCCTATTAAGATACAATTATATAAAGTATTTTTCAAGAAAATAATACAAAATATAAGATGTGTCATGACATTATCCTAAAATATTCAATAATAAAGACAATAAAATTATGTAATATAAATATTGCTAATTAAAAAATCATAATAAAAGTAAACATAATGTAAAAGTACTAAGTCATGCTAAAGTAAGTAGACTAATAAGGGAGTATTAATTACATGACTAAACGCTAAAGAAAAGATAAAAATAAGTTATGCATTTAAATCTAAATTATTGCAAAACAAAAAATAGATATTCAATAAATTCTCGTTCGTAGTATTGACTATTGAATTGAATGTCTTTTGTTAGCATTAGTATTGATTTGATTTTGGTTTGGGCTTTTGTTAGCATTATTTAATTTACTAATATTAATGGCTATAAAACTTAGTGGAACAGTCAAAAATTCTAAGTCCAACCTTAAAATAATACCTTAAAAGATAAAATTATGAAAAGTTTTAAGAAATATTTATAAATTACATCACAANATTGGGTTTTTTTCCAACACTAAACCATAGTTAAATTTTTTTTCTCGGTTTGACTCGGATTATGAAGTTGGTGTGGTTTATCGACTTCCTTTGTACGCCCCTAACCCAAAAGAAGACTTTTAATCAAAGGGTAACAATTTGCTTGAATTAGTGGCTGCAAAATATGATCCCCAAATATGGGCCTTGTCAACTTACCCTTCACCAAAGCTACACCGTAAAAATTGCAAAATTGCACGGGGCGTCTTATGTGGTCATCCCCATTTAATCTATACCTACTTTTTAAACAACTTCAGGCCTTTTTTTTTTCTCCTCCTCCTCCTCCTCCTCCTTCTTCTTCTTCTTCTTCGAGTGACAATAATTTTATATGGTGGTTGTGAATATATTTTAATATAGTTTATGATATTTTACAATGGTGAGCTGTTATGACGCTTTATTTTTTACTATTGCTTAGGGTTTCTTTTTCTTATTTTTCTTAATTGTAAAATGGGTTCATTAGATTTATTTGTTTTGACAAATTGATGATTGCGGTTTGTTCCTGATGATATTTGGAGGTTATGTTTCAAATTCGAGCTCATTTGGAGTAGATTTAGGTATTAAATCGTATATTGGATTGTTATAATTCGAAGAACAAAATTCTGTTTCTGGGCAATTTTTACTTCAGCCTTATTGGCCTTAAGTGAATGAAAACGTTTGTTGCACTTCGGACTTTTTTGGCCTCAAGTGCATCTGAAGTGCAATTTTTCACTTCAGACTTGTTGGCCTTAAGTGTAGCAAAACGTTTGTTGCACTTCAGACCTTTTGGCCTTAAGTACATCTGAAATGCAATTTTTCACTTCAGACTTATTGGCCTTAAGTGCATGAAACCATTGGTTACACTTCAGACATATTTGGCCTTAAGTGCATGAAACCATTGGTTACACTTCAGACATATTTGGCCTTAAGTGCATATGAAGTGCAAATTTTCAATTCAGACTTATTGGCCTTAAGTGAATGAAAACGTTTGTTGCACTTCAGACTTTTTGGCCTTAAGTGCATATGAAGTGCAATTTTTCACTTCAGACTTATTAGCCTTAAGTGCATGAAACTATTGGTTGCACTTCAGACCTATTTGGCCTTAAGTGCATTTGAAGTGCAATTTTTTCACTTTAAGCATTTTTTTAACTTCAGACCCGATAAGTCTGAAGTTGATTGTAAAGTGGATACGCTTGCAAACTTTTTCGCAAAGTGAGTATAAGTTTAATTGTGACCCCAAAACCGGGTATAGATGCAAAAGCCCAAGGTACAACTATGTTTCTTTCACATTTGTTAAAAAAAAATACTAAAGGCTTAACAATAGAAGCGGTTGGATCAAACTAGTGACATTATTTTTGTAGCCTTTTAGCCACTGTGCTATCCTCTTACACACTGAAAACAAAATAAAATCGGATGAATTAGCTTTCTAGCCACAGAGCTATCTCTTCCGAGGCACTAATAAATCGGAAAAATAAATAAACGGAAAGACACTCCAGTTAGAGAAATTACCAAAAGGAAACAACAACAACGACCCAGTATAATTCTACAAGTGGGGTCTGGGGAGGGTAATATGTACGCAGACCTTACCCCTACCCCGAAGGGTAGAGAGGCTGTTTCCAGGAGACACTCGGCTCAAAAAAAGCAACAGGAGCCGATATATTAGTACCATAAAAGGAAAGAAAAGAAAAAAAAAATGAAAAGAAAGATATTAAGCTAGCTTTTGGCCCTAGATACCCAAATTTGTTTTGAAAAATCTGATTTGGGTGAAGTTTGGTTTGAAGATGAAAATATGTTTGGACATACATTTTCAAAACATATTTCCCAAATTTATTTTGGAAAAACATGTATATTATTAGTTTTTTTTAAAGATTTTGGCCCAAAACCAGCTATTGAACTGGTTTTGGGATTTTGCCAAAATATAGGCAAAATCTATGGCCAAACAAGTGTTTGCAAATAAAGCCCAAATTTATTTTGACAAAATCTATGGCCAAACGGATACTAAAACTTCAGAAACGAGAATGGGAAAGAGGAGTGACATTTGGGCTGCAGAGAGAGTTGAAGATAGAAGGGAAACATAAACACAGTTAATTGAGAAAATTGATGGGCCAGTTACTTTTTGGGCCGGCTATTAGAGAGAGCTACTATTTGAAAAGCAATAGAAATATAGCCACGCTTTTACGTACAGATGGATTAAAACTGTGGCTCGAGTTCCAATGTTGAGCTCCTTTTGCCACCCAGATGAGGAAAAAACCAGAAAGAAGCAAGCACATGCCTCTTAACACATTTAAAGCTGGAAATGTAGTGTTTGATCCAGGAAATAAAACTTGTGCAGGACAATATTGTAACGATATTTCAGAGGATCATAAAACTCCTAGATATGAGGTGATCAATTCTTTAAAATGATTCACTATCTCAAGACATTAGAACTACGCAAAACATACAAGCACATAGTTTAAATGGAGGTCCACCAGAGAAAGCATGAACTACTTACATCACATTTTGTCCTGAATTAAATACTGTACAGGTAGAGCAGCTAGGATCTGCAGTCATAGGTGGCCGGCTTTATGTACTCCATTTACTTCAGCACTTCCACCCTCCTGCATCATATCCGCTTTCGTTGCCTTCAACACTTCTATCCTGCTAGCATTTTCATCTTCTTCCTTTTTGGTTAGTGTTTTCTTCGGAGCAAGCTGCCCCACCCTGGCATACTTCTCAATAAATTTATCTTCCCAGTCTCGCAGAATTTCAAGCTCAGCATCGCTAAGGCCTTCAAGGTTCCCATTAATATCCTGAGGTTTGAATGATAACTGAGCTAAGGCTCGGCTAGCATCTCTTCCAGCAAACATTGCATATGGACCACCAGGACCATAGAACATCCTATTTGCAACAAGCAAAATAACTAAGTAGGTTCTACAAAAAACTAGCGCAAAAGCAGCCTGTGAAAAGTCTATCACTCATATCTAGTGCTATCAAAGATGAAGTTCCAAAGAAGTGCAGCAATGCATCTTGTTAAAAAAAAATGAGCTATAACGATAATTGGAACCTACTGATAGATGCACGTCAGAAAGCAGAAATTTCTCTGAGCTTTATATTTCAGAAGAATCACCTTGATCCCTTTACTAATTATTCTTTCTCCTCAATGTTTGAGGATCTAGTATTTGAAACCATCCATAGATCGCCCAACTTCAAGTTATTTTACACACATTAGAGTGGGTCTTCACCAAAGGGGTTGGCATAGCACTTAATGAAGTGGGTGAAAACCTTAAAGACCACAGTTCCAATCCCAATGAAAACAAAAAATGATAGGTGATTTCTTTCTATCTGCATAAGCCTGTGGGCAAAGCTACATGATACCTGTGTTGGTGGGTGGTAACAGATACCTGGTGAAATAACCGAGCTGCACGCAAGCTAACTCAGACCAATTACGTTGGATGGTTTCCTATACAAAAGTTGCAGAATTTTTAACCATCCTCGATGCATATTTTATACTTGCTAACTAAGACCCAACAAACTCCTGCTACTGCAAAAAGAACAACGCACAAAGCCTTTTCTGGTGTTTGCTGTACACAACATCTTTTAGATACTCTCACTAAATTAATTAAATCAGTAGAAACAGATCACTTGAAGGTTTCTTTCTTTTTCCATAGATAAATGTGACTTGAAGATATCTATGCCATATGCCACACAAATTCTACCAAGCTAAAGTGTTATTAGCCAAAGCACCATAACTAAGGAAATTGGCAGAATATGTCAACGGCCCTCAAACTTGCCAAAAGAATTTCATTTAGATACTTTATCTAAGGGCTTGATTATTGAACACATAATCCATGCTCAAACCGTGCATGTTGAACACGTTTCTGACCATTAACCAAATTATATTGCCGTGTGAGGTTCACACCTAAATCAACCAACCAACTTCTACCACCTCACGGAATACCCGCACTACCCAGACCCGCCAACCGCACATCGCCCACCCCATCCACCCCCATCCAGAAAATTGACTTTTTGCTCCAATGAAATGGCAGTGGTGTCAGGCGAGAGAGGCGAAAAGGGAAGGGTAGATAGTGGTGGTGGTGGAAGTGGTGTCACGGAGAGAAGAGGAAGAATAGAAAGAGTGGAGGGTGGTGGTGGCAGTGGTGGTGGGAAGAGAGGAGGAAGGGGAAGGACGGAGAGTGGTGGTTGCAGTCGTGACGGGGCGAGAGGAGGAAGGGGAAGGACGAAGAGTGATGTCGCAGTGGTGACGGGGAGAGAGGAGGAAGGGAAAGGGTGGAGGGTGGTGATGCTAGTGGCGGTGGAAAGAGAGGAGAAGGAAGGGGAAATGTGGAGGGTGATGGTAACAGTGGTCGCAGAGTGAGGGGAGGAAGGAGAGAAAAAAAGGGGCATCCCGGTGCACTAAGCTCCCTCTATGCACGGGGGCTTTTTTTTTCTTTCCTAAGTAGTTGACTAGTTTACTAATTAATCGTCTAACGACCCGGCCGGTCGTTTTGAGTATTTTAGACCTGATTCCCTATTTATTGCCTCCTCTATGTTGTATTATAGTTATGTGATTTGTCGGGGTGTTTGGTTTCGGGCGAGTTTCGGAGTGGGGTCCGGAGAAGGGCCGGACCACAAGGGTCTATTGTACGCAGCATTATCCTGCATTTTTAAAGGAGAGAAAAAAGATTTTTTTAAAAAAAATTTGACTCTTCACGCTCTCAAAATAGGTGCGTACACGCACTGTGCCACGCGAGTAGCATGTGTTGCACTAGTCACAGTTAGAGCATATATCAGGTGTTCAATAGGTCAGGCCCCTAGATAAGGTGTTTAAATGAAGATTTATGGAAATTTTAAA